TGACAAGGTTTTTCCCAGTCAAGGGAAACAATCATCACTAGGGAAACCTTAACTACTTTTTAAAGAGCAAAAGAAAACACATTCATTCTTTTAAACATGGAAAACTAAATGGCCTCTTTTTCCTTGGCTGTATGCGCATGGCCATGGAGCGGGCTGGCACGGAGGGAACTCTGCAGGCAAAAGTTCCCCCACTCATTTCGTTATTGAAGAGGAGGGCTCTGTGAAGCAAAGTCTGCCCTTCTCAGCCCTTGCTGCCTTGGTTTTTTAAACCAGAAAGGTTCTGGCCATCCAACCCTCCTGCTTGTGAGTGAAACATCTTGGAGCCTGCAACAGCACAGCTTCATGTCACTTCCTAGAAGAGCTGAAAGTGAAGTCCCCAGGAGCAGGGCTTTCTCCAAAGGGAAGGGAAAGCCAGGGTGTCACTTCGGCAAGTCCCTGGGCTGCAGCAACTCCAGTGAAGCCTGGGGAAGCAGTGGGCATTGGTGATACTACTGTCTCCTCATAGTTTTCCTCTACCTCTTCTGATCCTAGGATATTTCATTATTTTCCTGGGAGAAAGGAGCTGAAGTTCTTTTCACAATTGGGAAAATCATTAATTTAATGCTGCTCCCACTCTTTTCCATCCCCTGGCCCAGCTGTGTAATCTTGCCTCTAACCATGCATGCTCTATTTAATAAAAAGCACTAAAATACAGGTCCAGCTCCTGCTATTTCCAGGAACGTTTGGTCCCATAAAACCATAGGAAAACATAATTTCAGCAAATTAAATCAGTTACTGCCTATCTCTCTGGCTGAATGCGTGGAAAGGGAAGAGCACCCTGCTGGCTCCATGCATGGGGAATAACACCAGTCAAATTCCACCAGGTCCATGCTGGGAAAGGGAGGCAACAGGCAGTCTGAGAAAGGCACGTCTCCTTTGAGCAGACATTAAAGGAATAAATATGCAACAGAGAAAATGTACAGCGAGCACTGAGCTCATCAGTCACTTTTTGTTTAATCTAATTAAACACAATATATCCTCTGACCTTCTGCGCTGGCACTAAATTCTCCTGTGTTGTTCTTTCCATATGAAGCTCTATTGACAGATGGGGAAAGCCTAGAGTTTGCTTTAAGCTTCAGATAAGTAAAGTTAAACATACAGCAGATAAAATTGTTTTGCCAGCACTCCTCTCCCCCTGACCAGTTGTGGGTCCTCACTGAGAGGGATTAATTCCTCTGCCTGTATTCCACTCCTGGCTTGGGATACTGCTCTGTGCAGTAAGCAAAAGCTGTAAGAGGGCAGAGGCAGAAGCAGAGTGCTGCAGAAATCCTGAGAAGTTCTTTTTTAGAGTTGGTTCTGCAGTTGCTGAGCCTCTTTTCCATGTGGCAGACTATTAGGGAAAACGGTGCTGTTCCTTGCTAAATATATTTCCAGAGTCACTAAATAATTTACTTAACAGCTAATCAGTTGGCATTTGCTGATGCTGAACCTGGTTTTAAATAAAAAGTGTCAAATTGCATCAGACACCTCGTGCATATTCCCTGCTTATGCAGGCTCCATGCTCTTGCTGCCTGTGCAAGAGTGCAGTCCGTCCACACGGCTTCCTGAGTTTTCTGGGAGGCAAAGGGCTGGGTTTGGGGGAGAGCTGGGAGCCAGGGTGCCGCATCAGGTGCAGGCTTTGATCATGCAAAAGGCTTGGAAATGTGCTCACCTTTTGAAATGACCACCTGCAGGTTCACATCCTTGCAGGCAAATGAGAAGATCACGGATCTGCCTTTCACCTGCATCACTTGGTAATGCCACCTGCAGAGCTGTTTCTTCCAGTATGGTAAAAAATCCTTTGAGTCCAGGGAGTTGCCACAGCTAACACCTCCATGCACCTACAGCTGTTCCTGTGCTCCTGGATGTGAGAGCAAATAACCCCTTGAAATGTAAACCAAAAGTTATGGACAAGCCCGGAGGTGATGACTTTGTGGTTCCCAAGAGGTTGTGTTAAAGAAGATTTCTTTACTGTAAATAGCCTTAATACTCCCTTTATCTATTAATAACACTAGGCAGGGCAGGAGGCAGCAGAGGGGCTGTTTCCTGCATGTGGTTGTTGAATGAGACTGGAGTGGTGTGACCTTCATGGCTCTGGTTTTCTGTGGCTGGCTGTAGAGCCTGACATGAGGATTGGCATGACCAGGGTCCCAAACCGTGGGCTTTGAGATCTCTGAATGCTCATCAGTGTCTGAATAAACAGCGACCTCTTGCCAGGGTGAAGGACCCTGCAGATGGTCAAAAGCCACCTCCCAGCTCTCTTGGGGCTCAAGGGAAAGTACAAAGTCTGACTTTCTGGAGCAACACTCTACCTAGGGAGAATTTTGCTATCTACAAAGGGAGTGGCAGGATCCCTGTGTTGCTCCTCCATGATCCCCCTCTGCAGCCTGTCCCAGAGATCAGATGTAGCCAATCAGCTGCTGGTTTAGTAGGGGAGCTGTGCCTTGCAAAACTCAGCCTTTTGAGCATTCCCACAGCAGAGCAACATTCTTTTGATGAAACAAACTTTTCATTATTACACTGGGAGGGAGCTCAGGTGTAAAACTAAAATCCAGTGGCTCTTGAAGGAACCGGAGAGACAACAGTCCCTCTTCTCCCCTATTAGTGTCCAGTGGTTGCCTCTGTGAGAAGCTGGGAGAAAGGGGCTCCGTGAATCAGAATTGTGGGTCATCCCTGCAGCAGTGACAACTGACCCTGCAGTTGATATCCAGCAGTTTGGGAGCGGCTTGAAATGGATGAAACTGCCTCAAGCTTTGCCATAAAAGAAGTTGTTACACGTGTCCTTAAAACTTGGGTTGGAAATACCTGACTAAAGGTGTGCCTGAAACTGGGTGAGGCCTGGATGAAAATGTTTCCCTCTGGCGTAAAGAGGGTGAGGATGTGCTACGTGTTCCTCGGGTGGCTGTGCTGAGTGATTGGCTCTCTGACCCGTTCAGATCAGCAGAAAGGTTGTTGTATTTTGTGTCTCCAGGGGACTCAGGGTCATTACCCTGCACTGGCAGCAGTGCTGGAATGGAGAGCATCACTCCTGGGAAAGCCCTGGCAGGGGGAAGCCAGTGTGGCTTGCCCTGCTTTAGGGACTGTTGGCCTCCATTCTGCCTGTACCTTGAAGTACCTCAAGATTTTAATTATAAAGCTCTAACCATCATGAACCAAAATCTTGGCTTGGGAAGGCACATTGCCTTGGCATGTTTCCTGGGACTGAGTGACTTATGATGCTGTGCTGAAAGTGAAGGGAGGACTCCTTCTTTTAGAGGAGGTGGGTCACACTCGTTTAGAGTCCAAACTCCCCCAGAGACTTTTCTTTCCCCTTTTTTCATGACATCAGCCAGGACTTGATGTTACTATTTTAAAAACAAAAGGAGGGGACACCCCCCCGCTTCCCCTTCGCCCTCTGCCAAAAGGAGAACAAAGAACAGCTAAAACACACAAGTTCTGGCACTCTGTGTGGAAATAAAAACATTCATCCTCATGTCAGGTAGGGAACTGCCTGACCCCCCTGCCAAAGCAAGCAATCCGGGCGGCAGAGTGAGCCCACGGCGCGGAGGAGCCCGGGAGAAGGGGATGCCCGGTGTCACCCTGTGCTTGGGCAGCTCCTGCCAAACTCCTGCAAGGCTGTACCAGTGCCAGGCTGCGCTGGGACGCTCCTGACCGCGGGCAGCCTTCCAGGGAAGGGCTGCCCTGCTCCTCCCAGGCTGTGAGGTGGGGAGAGACCTTTATTCTTCCCCTCGCCCACTCCTGTCCTGCCACCACTTGGGCAGCCCCTGCATCTCCCTGCTCCCCAGCGGGCTGGTGCATGGCACAGGGATAACCCGGTGTAATGTCCACGCTTTAGACACTAACATCTTTGTCTGGCTTCTTGCTTGCCATTTAAACATGTCAGCAGTTCCCAGCACGGATTCCTGTGCTATGAGTTCACCCCCAGCAAGCATCCAAACTGCAAGTTGGGGCTGCTGGCTCTTCCCTGCCTGTCTGTGAAGCATTACTGGAACAGGGGCCAGTTCTCCAAACACGAGGAAGAGATTACTTGGGCTTTCTGGAAGGCTCCCTCCCATGCCTTCACAGCGGAGCAAATGAGGATAATTTATCTGCTGGCTTCCAGCTGAACCCAGAAGCTTGGAGCAGCCAAGGACTACACTGTTTGTCCCAGCTCCCGCAAGAAGGCATTTTTCCATTGTTGCCGTTGTATATCGTTCACATAATTTGTTTGTGCCATCACCTTCTGGGGCCAAGATAAGAGGTCATCCCCTGCCTTTTACTGTTGGTGTGTTCCCTAGAACAATCCAGGGAAAAACTCGCAGGAAGGAGCCGTTGAGGGAGGCTTTCGTACGTCCAGTGCAGCCTTCGTTAGAATCATGTAAATAGTTTTGAGCAATCTATCTGGTGAGAAACACAACATGTCAGGAGGGAATTGTTCTCTGAACTGTAGTTACAGATGGGCCAGAGCGGGCGGATCAGCACACGTGGGTTGCCAGCTTAATGGACACAGCAGCTGCCTTTCAGGGGGAACAAAAGCCAGGCAGGGAGCCTCTGTGTGCCTGTGCTCTTGCTCCCCTCAGGACCTGCAGCTCACTTTTGTGGCTGGATAGCAGTCCTGGGTTGCCTTCCCGCTCCATCTGCTGCGACCTAATGCGGTGCTCAGGGATGGGTTAATGTCCCTGCTGCTCCCGCAGAGGGATGCAGGGAGCTGGATGAGGCAGCGAGGATGGCTGGGCGCTCTGCAGCAGCAGCAGCCAACTGGAACAACGCTGTAACGCCATCCACTTTAGTGAAGTTACTCGTGATTTTTGAATGTAGAGTTGAGGCCCAGTGGCTTGGCACAGCACAATGGGAAAAGAGCAGATTTTCTGTTTGCTTCCATTCTGCGCTGGCTGTGGTGCCTCTTTCCCTGTCCAAAACAGCTGCATGCTGCCTGAAGTGACTTTACAGACAGTAAAAGCTTAAAACATTGCATTCACCTTCATGATTTTTTTTCCTCTTAGAGCAAGTCATGGAGGAAGATCAAGAATATGGTGCACTGGTCCCCGTTTGTGATGTCTTTCAAGAAGAAGTACCCTTGGATCCAGCTAGCGGGACACGCAGGTACGGAGCATGGGGAGGGACAGAGTGGTGACAGGGCCCTTCATTATCGCAGATTAATGAGCTTTGTTGGCTTGAATTGCTTTAGGCCGCTGCATGAGTGTCACAGCTTGCAGCTCCCAGCCTCTAGCCCAGGAGAGTGACTTATCTAAATGCTAGTGGAGGGTGGTTTGAAGGTGCTCTGGGCTTTCAGTCTCCCAGGGCCAGCAGGAATTGTTGCTGCTTTTTCCTCAGGCAGCAGAAAGCTGGGTGCTTTGGGTGAGAGCCAGGCCCACCTCCTGACCCACTGCAAAGCAGGTGGCGCTGCCCAGCACAAAGGTGCCCCACACATGAGCATAGACACAAAGATGTGAACCTACAGAGAAGTGCACAGAGGATGTGCAGCAAATGTGTTGCATGCTGCAGGACAGCTCTCTGCCCTCTTTGGGGTGTGACACTGCTGGTCAGAAACCTCTGGCAACCTGAGCTTTTTCAGTCCCTGCCTGTAGTGACTCCTTGGGTGCTGGTGTAAATGGAGGTGCTTCCAAGGTGTTGGGCTGCCCTTCCTGTCCCCACGGCATCCAAAGCAAGTGCCACATTGTCCCTTGTCACCCTCCACCAGGTAGTTTCAAGGCAGCAGCCAATGGCAGGATACTGAAGAAGCACTGTGAATCGGAGCAGCGGTGCCTCGACCGCCTCATGAACGATGTCCTGAAGCCCTATGTCCCTGCCTACCACGGAGATGTGGTCAAGGATGGCGAGCGATACAACCAGATGGAAGATCTGCTGGCTGAGTTTGACTCCCCTTGTGTTATGGACTGCAAAATGGGGGTCAGGTGAGTGGCATTGGGGATGTTTTCTGAGTTTTAAGATGGGATACTCAAAAGTAAATGCATCACCTAGGTAAAATTACCTGAAGCACACAATTAAGAATACCAGGCTCACCTGTCTTTAGATAAAGCTCAGCCAATACCATGAGAGAGCCATGGGGAAACCTGGGTATAGAAAGGATACACCAGGCTCCTTCCTTCTCTGCTTACTGACTGTCCTGCATGCTGGGAAAGGTTTGGTGTGGTGGAGGGGACAACACTCTGCTTGGGTTTGGGTACACAGCAATGGCACAGTAGCTGTTCAGATGTCCTCTCTGCCACATGAGGACACAGCCAAGGGATGGGGTGTAGGAGATCCTGCCCAGGGTGCCAGATGGATGCAATAAAGACACTTGAAACGCACAATTTCAGTGAGCGAGAAATTTTCCCTCTGCTCAGCCTTTGCTCTGATGCGCACTGGAGGGATAAAATACGTGTGCTAAGTAGTTCAGTGCCTTTCATGCAAAGCTCTTGAAATATTTCCTAACAGATGAGCAACATTACCCATGTCCTCCTTGAGGCCCATCTGTCCAGATCCACCAGGATCCCAGGCTACAGCCACTTGGCCAGCAGCAGTTTTTGAGTGAGCCGTGCCACAGCTGACAAGGGTGTCCCAGAGCAGATGTGAGCGGGGCTGGTGACCCCAGGTGGCTGCCAGTTCTGGAGCAGCCTCAGGCCACCCCCCGGCCCTGGGTGTGCTGCAGGCTGGTGGCAGGAAGGGTTGAGACCCCCCTCGCTGGCAAAGGCGCAGCCAGACATGGTGGAGACGCGCTGCTGGAAAAGCTGATGGTTTCTGTGGGAGGGAGGAATCTTTTTTTCCCCTCCTGAATCCCGATGTGAAACTCGAACTGGCGTGCCCGGCTGTCGGCAGGGAAGAGGCGGGGAATACTTTCCACCGGAGGGGTGGAGGGAAGGGCAGAGGGCCCGGCGCAGCCATGTGGCCCCGGCTGGCACACACATTCTGCTGTGGGAAGGAAACAGGACTCGCTCGGGACCCAGACAGCAGCCACCAGAAGAAGAGCTGCTGGATGTGCTGCCCAGGTGCTCCTGTGGCTGTCTCTGGGAAGAAGAAAGCTTCCCGTGCACAGACCACATGTCAGGTGATTTATGCACCTGGGGTTTTGGAGCTCAGGCAAAGGGCATCATCATCCTGAAATAAGATTGTGCTGTGAGAGGAGCCGGTGAGAGAGGATGAATGGAGTTAATGCTGTGGAATGGGGCATCCCCGTGGCTGAGCAAATAATCTAAACCTCAGGAGTATTAAACCTGTCCTCTGAGCCAGAAGCTTGCTGCCAGGCAGAATCAGGTTGGTTTTTTTCATGCCAACCTGGCTTTGGGATGTGGCAGCCTACTCCAGTCTCTCCTAAACAAAGCTTTGTCTTTCTTAAGCCTTGGTGATGGCACAGGCCTGAGGCGATGGAGAGGACCAAGCCACAGACATTGATGATCTGTCATTCTTATAAGAAATTCTAGCTCTCTGAGCAGTGTGAGCAGCACTTCTAGCATGCTGCTGCATTATTCTGCTGTTTTATTCCATCTGCACCAAAATAATGGGTTTGGTGATCTCAGCCAAAGACTTTCATTGCTCTTACCTGCAGTATATTTCAAAGGGGCTGGTGGCCTGGGGGTGTCTGCCCTAAGCAAAGGCACCAGTTTGCCTCGTGGGACACAGGAAAATTGTCCCACAGAGTCTACTCAGCACCCTCTCAGTTTGTTTTGCTTGGTTCTGGAGGTGAAGCACATACTCAGTGCTGGGATTTTGGTACAAGGGACATGGGCAGAGGGCACTGTCTCTCTGCAGAACTGGGCATGACTAGTGGGAGGTGTAGAACAGTGACAGATAGGGTCATTCCTGGGTTGTTTTGCTGGGACATCTCATCCAACTTGGTGGGTTGTTCGAGGAGAGCCTGGACACCTTCCAGCCTGAGCCAGGGTTGATTTGGGAACTGTGAGAGGAATTCCATGGTGGTTTATTATTGCTGCAGGAAGTATTACTTTGTGGATGATGGTTTTATGCATGCCAGAATGCAGAACTTTTCCACTACTGTGCTCTGGCACAGAGGGGTATTTCTCTGAAGCATGGATAAAATCAAGGTCTTTGCACACTCCTCTGCACCTTCCATCCTCCTTCCCCCATTCCCCCATCCTGGCTACACTCTGTGGACCTGGGGTGCTGGTAAGCATCTGGCCAAGGCTGCATCCCTTCCTGTGTTTCATCTTGTAGAGAAAGCTGTTGCTAAGAAGTCCACTTGAAGCAGACCTGTACTGGGCAAAATCATCATCATCAATGGAACAGCTCTGTGTGAAAACACCCTGTTTAGCATCTGGTGAGGCAGAGCCCTCATGGTGCACAGAGTGGGGGGATGGAAGAACACAAGAGAGGCATGGGAGCAGTTTGGCTGACCCTGAAAGGGAGCAGCAGCTGATGCTGAAGGATGGGACACTGGAACATCCCTCTTGCCTTCAATTCAGCTGGCTCCCAGAGCATGTGCACAGTTTCCTGGGCATATCTTGAAAGCCATGTTTAGCTCAGGTGAGAGCTCAGGTTTCCTGAACTTTGGAGTATGGGCCCCCCAGGACAAGGGATGGCATGAAGAGGCTGCTGGAGTGGCAGCAGCAAGGCCATGAGCACCTGTGAGAAATAACATTCCTTTTTATTGCCAGACTGGTTGTGGTTCCTTGATGAACTGAAAAGATATCGGGTGTTGATGATTGATTGATAATTAAATCAGGATCAATGAGGCTTGCTCCATTATTTCCTCTGCTGGGAAATAATGGAGAGAAATAAAAGGAGTTCAGCTGTCCTGCATCAGCCTGATTTCTGGGGCGAGGGCTGTCTGTGGGTATATGGCGCCTTGTGTGGTGGCCCTGCTCATACACCCCCACACTCCCTACAGAACGTACCTGGAGGAGGAGCTGATAAAGGCCCGGAAGAAGCCGAGCCTGAGGAAGGACATGTACCAGAAGATGATTGAGGTGGATCCCGACGCCCCCACTGAGGAGGAGAACGTGCTGCGGGCAGTGACCAAGCCCCGCTACATGCAGTGGAGGGAGACCATCAGCTCTACCGCCACGCTGGGCTTCAGGATCGAGGGGATAAAGGTGAGTCTGGCCAGCTGTGTGAGCAGGGGATCAGCTGCTGGGAGTGCTTACTAGCCAAACTCCCAGAGGTACACATGCAGCAGGCTGGTGGTGACAGCAGGTCACATCTGGACATCTCTGGCCCACGCAGCCAAACCAGCACACAGGCACGTCACCTGGGGCACTGCTGCTCTTCTGAGAATGCAGCTGAGCTCAGGGCATCCTGAGGATAGTTTTAGACATAATCTCATTACATCAGCTGTTTGGTTGATTTCTCCCTCCCTGCAAAATACAAAGTGCCATCCTCCAACTTGAAGACCCAAATTAGTTGTTTGCTTTCAATTCTGCTCTGCCACTGGGCTGAGCCATTAATCCAAATCCCAGCTTGAACGTGTGCCCATCTGTGGTTGGAGCTGTGAGCTTAGCCACAGTCAGTAAAGAGGATGTGTTTACAAGCCTGTCCAGGAAGATTCAGCAGCTGAGCCCTATGAAATGGGACAAACACGCACAGCTGCACTTACTTTCAGCACCTGCATGCACGTGTAACCCGCTTACTGCTCTTGCTCAGAGCAGCACTCACATTTTTGGAGACACCAGCTGGGATGCTTCTGTGTCCCCAGTAGATGAGCCAGTCCAGGAGATTTTTCTCCAAGGGGGCAAGAAAGGTGTCTGGGATGGCACTTGAACAGTAGGTCTGTAACCACAGAGTATTAGTGATACTGCTTGCATGAGCACTAGCAATGGCCTATGCCTTTTGATAGCCAGCCAGTGTGATTTAAATGTAATATCACACTTGAGCCAAGGGTTTCATTTCATGTCTGGGCATGATGTTAGCTTGGCAGCCACGCAGAGCTCTGTCAAGTTGTGTTTGCAGTAATTCAGGCTTGGGTAGCTGCTGAGGGCCTAGGCAGTAGCTCAGAGCAGCAACTTGTTCTTTGTGGAAACGATGGCTCAATATCTGCATGTGTCTTGATTGGAGAAGTTTCTTTCTCTTGATCACAGATTATTTTTCTACTCTCTGAGTTGGACAGAATTCCCCCAGTGTGCCTATCAGGGTCTCTGTAGCCTAACCTCCTGCCTGAAGATAGTGGTGTTAAAATGATAGAATTAAAACAAATTAGGCTGTTTTCTGATAAAGCCCTCACACCAGATTTTGTAGACTGCCCTGGTAGCATTTCCCTTCACCTCACCAACAAACAAATGCAGGTGTCAGACCATGGGTTTAAAAGGTCAGCAGGAGTGGGTCACTCAGAGCTGCTGCTTCTACCACTCACAGAAGGGAGTTGTCTCTTGCTCTGTGCATGTTGCACCTTCTTCCTTCAGTTTCATGGCCAGCAGGATATAATGCATTTACCTCTAACTCAAACACTCTCAGAAGCCCCAGGAGCAGCTCTTGGGCTGAGCACCTTCAAAGGTTTCCTGGCAGACAATGCAAGGCACCCCTGCCCATTCCCTGTCTCTGCCTAGGATGCTGATGGTCCATGCTCCCCACAGCAGCTTCCTGCAGTGCCTACATTGGGTCAGGGCACTTTCCTGCTCATGCAGCTCTTCCCTGATCTCTCCTGGTCTCCCAAAGACCCTTTCCTGCTGTGGATGCCCATAAGCACACTGTGAGCTCCTCCAGCTTGCGACAACCCCATGCCTAGTTCCTATTGCTGCTGTTTTGTTTTTTATAAAACTGAGGCTATATAAAAAAGGGGGACCAGCTGGGACTAAAGCTCTCATGAACTGCTTCTTCTTCCTGCTTTCTTGGTGTAATCAGAAATATGTCTATTTATAGTCCAGCATGATAGATCCTTGGCCTCCAGTGGTGCTTCTCAGTCTGGGCATGTTTAGGGGGCAGGTTATATACGAAGCACTTGAAATAAAAAAATGTAAAAAAAAAAAAAAAAAATCCAAACAAATAATATCCCCAGGGAGGCCAAAAACATTGTGGAGGAAAATAAAGGCCATAAAGGCGTTATGAGATTTGCACCTTTGTTTAGCCAACCATAAATGAGTTGCTGCCTGATCTGAGCAGTGGATTTTTTTCAAAGAGGTGAAGCAGCCCTTTAATTGAAAAATGTTGAGAAGTTCTGGCCTCCAGCAGTATTCCTGCTGCTGCTAGGGGGCTGACTAATTTGATCAAGGCTCTAATTACTGTAATTCTCCTGAAATCCCTCAGCTTCTGGGTTATTTTCCCCTAAGCTAAAGCATTAGCAGTTCATGCTGCTTCACGGCTGGCTGTTTTTCCAACAGGGCTGGTCATGCTGTGCTGTATCCCTGTTCTCTCTATTCTGGGATTGAGTTTCTGTGTTAGGGAAAGTGCCTTTGGTGCCCTGGCTGGCTTCCCAGGTTTTATTTCTTGCTGTGGATGCTTCCCTGTGAAGAGCAGCAATGAATCTGCCCTGCCCCTCGCTCATGGATGGGGGCTGCTAGAGGAGAGTTCTGAGAAGTGCAAGGGAAGGACAGGATTTGACCCTGGACGTGTGGGAAGGGGTCATAGGAAGGAGAGGAGCAGTAGAATCCTTTTAGATAGCACAGTCAGGTAAGGCAAACAGGCAGTTCAGGGTCGGGCATGAGGATAGCAACCCTTTCCTGACTGAGCTCTCCCTTTCCCAGGTGGCCTTGAGGATCCAGTTCTTCCTCTTTAAAATGGAAATTTTCCTTTGCAAAAATAGATAATGATATTCATCTGATTTTCTGGAATAGCTAGAACCTGTTGGAAACAACTATTAATAAAATTTCCATGCTGAAAGTAACACAAGTGATCCCTGGTGGCCCAGGTGAAACTTGCTGGGCTCGCTGTAAGAAGTGACACTCCTGAGCTGCTGTTCTGGTCTGAGTGTTACTCACCATTGCCTGCAGCAAGGCCACAGTGGGATGGCATTCCCCAGGGCTGGAATGTTTGCAGGGTCCCATAGCCAGCCTGGAAAGCCTCCACCTAACTTTGCCAAGCCAGGCAGCTCCAAGCCCATCCGAGGCCGGAGGCAGTGCTGGAGGGAGATCTGGCTGAGCTGAGCCCTGCGCCAGCGACGCCAGCGTGAGCTGAAATCGCTGCTGGGGTGGAGGTTGTGATAGTCCTTATCAGCCCCCCTCACATTTCTTCTGCGTGGAAGGCAGCCCCCTCGGGGCTCGGACACCTGTGAATGTCATGGCAGTTGTCAGCCTCAGCAGCAACCTCTGGCTGGGCAAGGAAACTGCAGGAGGCGGGTAATGCTGGGAGCAGCACTAGGGATAGGCTGCTTGGCTTTCCTGAAGCTGAGACTGCCTTATCGGAAAGGCCATCTGTGATTTTCATTTATTTTTAGGAGCACTCAAAAGTCCATCTCCTTTCTTGGATGCTTTGTGGAAAGCTGTGCTCTTTACACATTAAATTAGTGCTGTGGCCCTTCTCCAGATTGATCTTGATCATCCTCCTGAGAGCGGGTGGGTTCATTTCTGAGCTGCCACGTCAGGGCTCACATGAGGGACATGTAGCTGCAAAGTGCCCTTCCCCTGTACATCACACACGTGCCACTAGAGCATCCTCAGCAAGGTCACAGCTGAGAGCAGAGATCCCAGCTCTGCATGGGCCATCAGCGGCACAGAGGCTCTAGTGAAAAGCTTGTCCCTGACCCCTACCAATACACACTCTGCCAGCCCTGAGCATTGCTTTTGAATGTGGCAGCACAACAGTCAGGCTGAGTCCAGGGTGATTTGAAGCTGGGTCCAGTCGTTGCAATTGGCACAAAATTTTTCCTGGAGTTTTTCTTTTGTACATTTCTTTTGTTACCACCTTTGTTAATGCTTACACAAGCTGGAAGTTGAAGTGTCCTGTATGATTCATCCCAAACTGCACTTCAGGTGCTGATTTGGTGGCAGGCTCACTTTGGGCACTCAATATTCCCCCAGGTTGGGCTACCATGCCCACAGCAAGCCCCCTCTTGAGGGGGATGCACATTGCCCTGTGCTGGGGCACTTCCCTGGACGGGTCTCTAACCTCCAGGGCAGGTGATTTCATTGTGCCTTCTTCCTCCCCCAGCCTCTGCTCTGCTTCTTCATCCTTCATCTTCCCCAGCCCACAGGATGTCTTTTGGCCCCTGTCCCATTGCTGTATTGTGTGCAAAAGAGCTGTCTAGAGCAGTGGGATGGAGCCCTGCAATGGAGCTGTGAGCACAAGCAAAATGTGTTTAAAATAGCCCCTGTATCCAGGAAGTGAGATCTGCCTGCCTGTCCCACGGCCCCTCTGGACAATGAAACGAGTTGATGTAAAAATCAGAGACCCAGAAGGACCAGGGAAATGGGGAGAGACCTACAAAGCTGCCCAGAGGGTCAGACAGGAGCCTCTGGGCCAGGGCTGAGTATGGTCTCTGCAATGGACAAGCCATGCCATGGCAGGCCAAGGATGGATGTGCCACTGGGGAAAGGCAGAGAGCACAAGGCTGCTCGCTGCATCTTGGTGCCAGGCTGCTGCCTTGAAGGGTTTGTGATTCATGGACTATCAAAGGACCAGTGAGACCAGGCAGCCATGGGCTTGCTCCTTGCTGCAATGGTCCATGGAGGAATTCTCATGGACCTGTTTTGTTCCTGCTTCTGAGATGTTGTTTCCATCCACACTTGGTTCTGTCCCATCATGATCATGCTCTGCTGTCCTCCCCAAGCCAGAGAGACAGCCCAGGGAGCCAGGCTCCAGGGCTGGTGTCAGTGCCATTCTCAGCCACAGCAGCCATTTGGATAGAGAAACACCAGAAACAGGTAGTCTCCAGCCTCTGTTAACAGCAAGCACCAGGTCTGTGAAGAGAGTTTTTCCACATTGCCAGTGACCTTGGCAAGTATTTGATGATGGAGAGTTCCATTTGCAGTAGACATCAATGCATGGGGGCTGTGGGATAACTTGGGATGTGCAAGCAGAGACCTGCTGCCTCTGCTCACCCCTGCTCCACAGACATATCCTTCAGCTGCCAAAAACACTGGTCACATCCTACTTGGCAACATGCATGGCTGCAGAAACACTACTCCTGCCCGAGCTTCCTTCCTCCCCATCCAACTCACCCCTGTCCCTTCTTTTCAAGAAGGAGGACGGCACTGTGAACCGGGACTTCAAGAAGACACGGACAAAGGAACAAGTCATGGAGGCTTTCCGTGAGTTCACCAGAGGAAACAGGAATGTTTTGGTGAGTGGGGGATGTTGGGAGCACTGCCTGGAGAGGGCATTTCTGTGGAGCCTGGCCTCAGCTCATCAGGTCCCTGGCCTGAGGGCTGAAGCCTGAGCAATGTCTGTTAAAAAGCATGGGAAATGTCAAAGAGAAACACCATCCTGGTGCAGGGTGAGGGGAAAGCAGTGGAGAGCTGGGAGGGGACTTGGCTGCAGCAGCACTGCTTGACCCGAGTCTGAATCTGCTGAGGATCTCCAGGATTGGCCCCCAAAACCCACTGAGCAGTCACAGCCATGCTCTGTCCCACATCCCTGGGCTGGTCACCCCGAGCCCTTTCTGTACCCCAGTATGAGTGGTGGGGGCTCCCATCCTGCCAGGGGGCTGCCTGTGCCCAGTCTTGCAGAAGAGTGATCCCGTGCCAAGCACACTTCACATGGGCAAGCCACAGGCAGCATTTTCCAAGCTTCCCTAAGTTGCCAGGAGAATAAGAGATCTGGCTGTAAACAATTTACACCAACTGTGTCAAATAACCTATTTGACAAAGCACTTCCATTTTAAGCTGCACTGCATAAAGACTCCAATTGCAAGGCTCCAGCTGGAGTGGCCCTTGGCACTGTGTCCTTCAAACTGGCATGCTTGCTTTCACAAGAGTTACCCAGGGATTTTCCTGGATCTGAAGATGAAGTTGCCTGGCTGCATTTTATCCCCAAAGAACTTGGAGCACACATCATGCTGTGGCTCTGGATGGGGCTCCTTGGACACTTCATTTTTATACAGCGATCCCCATCTCCCCCTGCAAGTGTGTTACAGTGCCCAGATACTTGCTGTGTGTGTGTTCCTGTGCTTGATTTTTCTATATAAACCCCAAAATCAGTGGAGCCCCCTGAGAATGTTTAGTGCCTTCCAGCGATTTGCAGGGATGCTCAAACAGGCTTGTGGGTCTTGACCTGTGTGCTGGTCATTGTGAAAACCCTTCTGCTTACGAGACCAGCTGTGCAAAAGTGCTGATAACGGAGTTGCAGGAGTGTCTCATGATCTGTGACTGACTGAATGCTAAAAAGATACATGAAGTGAAGAGTTGATCTGTTAAGAGAGTGCAAGGGAGAAGAAAAAGTAGCAGCTGCTGAATTAGGTGTTCCCAGCATGGATGCAGCACGGGTACTCTGCAGAAAGCACCAGTTCAGCAAAAGCAGATGCTTTCACTAAGTTTTGAAAGCCACAGGAGCTAACAGGGTGCTGTAGAAGCCAAAAGGAAAAGTGGGTCATAAAAAAGAGGGGGACACTCTCCAAAGGGAAAGGTCTGTGGGAGGATGCTGGATGTGGGGGTGACTTTCTGCCCCAATGCTGTGGTTTTTATGTAGGTTTCCTGCAAAACTAATGGCTTGGATTTGGGTTTTTTTTTTTGTTTTTTTTTTTTTTTTTTTTTTTTTTTTTTTTTTTTTTTTTTTTTTGTAATTCCAGAACAGTTACCTTAACCGGTTGAAGGGTATCCGTGCTACCCTGGAGACATCCCCGTTCTTCAAGTGCCATGAGGTAATACTGCTGTGTAGATAGATCTGCCTGGAGAGGCAAAGTGTTTAATCCCAGCTTGTCCAAGGAGAGAAGTCAAAGTCAGGGCCTGGTTTATTCTTATATCTGCATTTTCATATGCGTATGTGATACTTACATGCAAATATAGATGATAGCATACAATGTTTGTGCATCTAACACGGGCTCAAATCTACTGAAAGCCAATGTTCAAACAGATTAAAAGTGATCCAGGAGGAATTCAGGCTGTTTATGACAGGGACAATTCCCTAGGGTAAAAGCACAGGGGTTTTCTCAGGAGAAGTGTCTGTTTGAATGCATGTCAGGTATCATTTGGCTGACAGTTGCTCCACATGATCAAGCAAGGCTTCAACACAGCCATAAATTGCAGATACCCCAAATGTGCTTTTCCTGAGCTGGTTGGGGCACCACAGTACGAACTCTGCCTTTTGAAGAAATTTCATACAGAAATGAGTGTCCATGATACCAACATTTTTTATACTGAAGACTCAGTGCTGATGGGAAAACAAGGAGGGCACACTATCTTTTTTGGCCATTTCAGGAACTGAAATGCTCCATAATTTAATACAATAATTTTGCTATTGCGTCTACTTAACAAAACATGAGAGTGCGTGTCCTTCTCGTGTGATGTGTGGGAATAAAGAGCCTCATAGGAACCTCTGACTCCCAGGGCTCAGAGCCACAGCCCACTGTCCCTCATCCAGAGGCACAGGAGCCACCTCAGCCCCAGCTAGACACGGAAGGTCCTGCCAGGAGCCAAAGGCAGATGGGGCTGTGCCTCCTGGTGGCAGTGCTTGGAAGGCATTTGGAAGGGAAATGTCAAAACTGAAGGTTTCAGGGCAGTTCAACACAGGAAACAAAATTCTCCCTGAAACCGAGTGCCAGGGTTTCATTTGAAAACACAGAAACAAAGCAGCCTTTCAAAGAGGGTTTGAAAGGAGTTTCCACTCCTTAAAAATTAAAAAGCAGGAGCTTTGACTTTCCATCCTGCTTTGAGATGAAGCACAGCAGAAGGTCTGCCAAGCTTTGTGTCCCTCTGTGGGGCCCTTGCTGAGCAGGGCTCCTCCAAGGAGCTGCAGGGGAATTGGGCAGTCCAGGACACACAAATAAAGAATGTCAGCAAAAGGCTTTTCCTTAAAATTAGCTCATTTTCCAAAATGACATCTTTATCTTTCATGCCCATGTTTTTCTGATCCTCTCCTTCTGCCAAGACCTGGGATTTGTATGAGTAAATCAGCTTGTCCAAATGCCCCATTTGCATGTGCAAACACAACCAGCAATGCCCAGAGATTGCTTTACCTCATGCAAAATTTCAGCAGCATCTCTTGGAAATTAAACCTAAGATAAGGTGTCTGAAAGCCCCAAAGAGGGCTGAAAATGAGCAGCAGCAGCACCACTAATTGGTCTCACCTCTCCACAGGTAATTGGGAGCTCTCTCCTCTTCATTCACGACAAGCAGGAACAAGCCAAAGTCTGGATGATTGACTTTGGGAAAACCACCCCACTGCCAGAGGGACAAGTTCTCCAGCACAACGTGCCCTGGGTGGAAGGGAACAGAGAGGATGGCTACCTCTGGGGGCTGGACAACCTCATTCAGATCCTGACAGAGTTGTCCCAGAGCGAAGACTTGCATTAAAGCCGCGCATCCGACTCTGCCACTACCCCCAACCTGCCCCTGACTGACTCTTCTGAACTGCACTACAAGACACTTTCCAGCCCTTGCCCTCCCCATTTGAAAGCTATTCTCTCCCTATTTAATGTGTTTTTGTTGTGGTTTTTTTAGGTTGTCTTGGTTGTTTCCCCCCATCCCTCCTTGTAAATAGAGAGCTAACCTGCTACAACAAAAGCTGAACTTGAAACCTTGGCTTTGCAGAGTCAATGGGAGTAGGTGGCCTGGGGCAGCCCAGTGGGGTTGCTTAGGCAAGTGCATGCTTTGCCTATCATGCTTTTGTCTCTTGCTCAGCCTGATGTTAAGAGGGCTGGCGGAGGAAGGAGCCTCTTCCTGCACCAAGATCATCCTGAAAACACACAGTGACCGTGCCCAGGACCCTCTGGCAGTCAGAGAGTGTGAGCGAGGTGTGGAGATGGTGAAGGACACTGTAGTGGGAACCCTTTAGTTGTCTCTGCCAGCACCTTTCAGCCCAGGGAGCTGGTTGTGCCAAGTCCTTGAGAGCTGCTAGAAGGGCAGATTTGGGGTTTAATTTGTGTTCAAGACATCTTGTAGAGGTTGCTCAGTTATTTTTGAGTGGCACTGGAGGGTGAAGGTTTCCCTCCTGCTGCAGAGCCACATAGTCAGGCACAGGTATTTGCCATGGCCAGGCGCTTCCCACCCACATCCCCCATGTTGGGTGCCCTGGTGAGCAAAACTTTGGGCTCCTCTCTAGAGCCCCAGCTCCCCCATTAGGAACTGCTTCCAGCCTAACTTAGCTGGGGTCTCCAATCCTCCCTAGCTGGGAAAAATAGCTTATAAAGGACTACTATGAGACCTAAAGTAGCCATCCAGGTCGATCAGTCTTTTTTGTCAGCAGCTGAGCACATGTGTAGTGCCACCAATGCTCACACCAAGCCCAGGGCCACCTTCCTGCCTGGAGCATGTCTGTAATTTCCATCTGCATCAGGTGAAGGGCACAGCAGCAAGGCAGCACCCGGGTTAGGCAAAGCAGAGCTGGGGTCAGGCATCCCCATGCCTTCCCCTTTTCCCAGAGCTGCCTGTGGCTGCACCGCTCCCCAGCAGGCTGCTGCTGTGTGACGGCCCCTGCGCTCCCGCTCCTGTGAAAACACCCAGTTCCCTGTTTAGGGTGGAGGCTATTTTTTAACTTCCTGGAACATTTGAAGCGAGCAGCAGCAGGGCTGGTGCGCTAAAGGTCATCCCTGGAGAGGCTGGCAGGGAGGGGAGGCTGCGGGAGCCTCGCGTCGAGGAACATGCAGTGCAGGAGGTGGTGCAGGAGCTTGGCAGCCACGAGTCCCTCACCTGCTCCATCCATCCCAAACCCATTGTCCTGTCTCACTCCCCAGAAGCTCCAGAGCCCCTCTGCCGTAGTTTGGTGGGTCCAGCACCCTTGATGGGGGAGACTCCCTTGCAGCAATAAGGAGGAGGAGTTGGCCACCAGGCCGTCTGCAGCCAAGCGTCTTTCCCAAGGACTGAAGTTTTCTAAGGTTTTTCTCAGTTCATAGCTCACCAGACAGGTGTCTTTTGCTCATCAGATGCCATTGTAAATGGTTGCACTGTTTTAGCTCCTTGCCAGGCTTTCTAGACTAGCCCATGTAGAAGTGCCTTATAGACTTTGCCTCTGTTCCATTAGTGTCATGGAAAAGGTTGGGGTTTTTTAAGTTATATTTATTTTCATCCCATTTTAATTGCACAAAACACTAAAATTTAATGCATGGAATCTTTTTTTTTTTTTAACTGTGTTTTTAGTTTTTAAGCCATGCCTTTTCCAGCTTTGAAGAAAGGGTGTGAACAGATACCGCGTAGCTATGTACCACTTACTGCTGTACTTTAGCTTTGAGCTGCTCTTATATATGTATGTTATTTTTTAAGCCTGTTTATAAACCAGATCCCTTGCTTTGTGGCTTCAGAAGAAGCAGATTGTTCTTCTCAGATGTCTTATGCTTTCCTGGAGGCTGGAATGGTTGCTGTGAGGGATTTTCCCTGCTCCCACCACACTTCTCAGTCATTGGGTAATACAGAAAAAAAAATCCAAACCGGTCTGGAACACCAACGCACAGTGCCTGTAAAAAAGTCCAGTAACATTGCAAATAAAGGCCTATGGGAAGCATTCCCCTGGTGTGCAGTCAGTGTCTGCCCTGTGCAGTTGTGGCAGCCTTGGAACAGCCTTTCATGTCCATGGCTAGGGGGGAATCAGGCTCCAGCAGTGCTGCATAAAACCAAGAGTTGGGGAGGACCCTTCGCTGGGAACAGATCTCGACAAACAGGAACTGGCTCTGCAGGGAGCAAGGCAGGGGGAGAGCAGAACTGGGGCTGTGGGAGGCCCAGGATCAGTGGCAGCTACCCAGAGAGGCCTGAATTTCTCCATCCCTCTTCTACAGGAAAGGCCACTGAAAGCTGATCCAATTTTTTTTTGAATGTTTTTGGCTCCCACTGGTGGTTTCTGAGTGCCACCCTGTGATTTCTGCACTGGAGAATACCAAAGCACCCGGGAGAATCAGAGCTGCTTGTCACAGCCAAACACTCCCATGGCTCCTCTCCCTCTCAGCTGCGCTGTGGGCAGGGCCAGAGGGAGCACTTTGGACCAAAGGCCACAAAAACCCCCAGATTGTTTCTGCAGTGAAGGAGGAATCAGGCTATAGAGCCTGAAGGCAGCTCCATTCCCTCCTGGCTGGTCATGCAAGCACAGGACAGCAGGAGCTGTTCTGGCACAGATGTGACCAAAGCCAGATTTAGTGCCCAGACCCTCAGGAGCAGCCTCGCCTGGGAACCAGACCTGGCTCACCACAGGTCCTCTAAAACAAACTGCAGGAGAAGCCCTGCAGTGTGGAATTTGAAGACTAGAAGCCTCTTGGTCGGAGGCAGAGCTGGCAGGACACTGGATGTGAGGCTGCTGCCTGTGCACCAGCGGTCTCTCCTGGGCTGTGGGAAAGCAAACACGTTTCCTGTCTGGCTGCTGAGCTCACTCCAGCACTCCAGCAGAACTGACAGCCCCTGATTTACTTATAGGTCCAGTTTTTGGAGTCTCTCTGCTCTGTGACTCCTCTTCTTACCTTCAGAGGAAAGCAAAAGCCTCCAAAACTTACCCACCCATCCAAATGCAAAACCAGAGGGTGAAGAACCCTGTTCTGTGAAAACCTCTCTTGAGAGTTGAGGAAACACCATGACATTGTGGTGGAGAGTGTGCAGAGAAATTCACAATGCCAGAGGCTTATATCCAGAAAGGAGACAGAGGAGTCTTGTAACTTTATTTGAGTAAAGGGAAAGGCCATGGGGCATTTCCCCTGGGGTCTATCAAATTACTGGAGGATACAGCCTCCTTCTTATCCTAATTTCCTGGCCACAACACCCTCTGCCTTTCCCCATTGGCTGAGGTACTTGGAAGGTACAGACTTCCCAATAGGCCTACTGCATGTCTGCCTCTAATATGCTCATGCCTCCTTTTTTTTATATATAACAAAACAATATTCATAACTCCATTCAGTCTTTGTTCTTCTGTAAGTTCAGGAATTTAACACAGCCTTGGCTCAGTAGCAATTGGTAACATTTTCTAGAACTGATAGTTTCTCCCATTACTTCCCTATCTTGAAGTCCCTGGTCCTATCTACAAGCAGATTTACATGGTCTGTAAAGACATTCATCCTATTCTTTTCAAGAGGAAAAGGGAGTAAGTCAGGAAAAGAAACAAACCCCTTGTGGCTGAGTGCTGGCATCTGCTAACCCCAGGGTGTATGCAGAGGGTTGGGATAGGGCAGGCCCCCATTGGCACATGCCACGGCAAGAGCCTGCCTTGGCCCCCCTGCCTGGCTTTACTGCACCCCCAAAGCAAAGCCCAGAGCTCCCTGCCACCTTAGGCATTAATAAACTAATAGATTCATAAACTCAATATAGAGAAGAGAGGCCTTACATTAATGCAACAAAGAGAGCTTTACACCTTGCTGACGTCTCTACTCTTACAGAACAGAGCCTCACAACACCTCCGGCAGTGCCAGGGGCTGTAAGGTGGTTGCTCAAGCTGTAGGGAGGGAGGGGCAGATCCTTTCCTTCAGCATTGTCTTATCGGGTACTACTTGACAGAATGAGCCTCCCATGAATCAGGGGGTGCTGGGGCCAGCTGGGCATTCCAGCCTGTGAAGATGCAGGACTTGGGTGTGGTGGTTGACAGGGGTTCATGTGGTGTGCTCAGCTTTGTTCCCAACACAAGCTGGTGGGGTTTTGGTGGTCTCTGGGAAGCGCCTCAGGAAGGATTTTACCCCTGCCATGGATGATGCAGTGCAACCCCCAGCCCAAAGCCTGGCAACAGCCCCAGGGCTCCCTCTCCTCCTGCCCAGTGTGGCGGGGGGGGGGAAGCAGCAGTGAGGGGGCTGCTGGAGTGGAAACGCTCCTGCCCGTGTGCTGCTGCAGGGGATGCATGGCCGGGGCAGCATGGGGACACCACGGCAGTGACAGGATGGCCCAGCAGCATCTGAGTGTGGAAGGTGCTTTGGGGATGCCTTTCCCCTCAGCCGCTTTGTCGTGGGGCTCATCCTGACACCTCCAGAGTCCCGCTGGCTTGGCCATGTTTTGTGGGGGGGATGCTGCCGGGGCACCCTTCGGGCTTCAGTGGGGCAAGTCTCAACCCCACAAGGGCTGTGCTCGCCTTTCTGCCGTACCTTAAAAACCAGACCCGAGCCCCGGCCGACCCCCCTGCCCCATCCCGCGTGGGGCGGAGCCGGGCTCCGGGCGGACTCCGGGGCCGGGAGGGCTCGGCGCCGTGCCCCGGCGGCGGGCAGGCCGCGCCTCCCGGCGGGCAGGGCCTCCCGGCGGGGATGCGCCCCGGCCGCCGCTGCTTTGAGGCTTTTTCTCCACCCCCGGCACTTCTGGGGTTTGGCTTTCCCACTGCGAGCTGGGGAGGTCCTTAATATCAATAAACCCTGCCCTTTCTCCGGCTCCATCCCTTTCAGCGGCTCCATCCCGGAGCCAGCCTGAACAGGGCAGGGGGAGAAGGATCCGTGCTGCCCACATCTCCTTTCTGGGTGGTTCTGGGAGTGAAAGGCTGGCGGCAACACGTCTGTCCTCCCTGTGCCATTGCAGGGTTGGAGCCCCCCCGGCAGCCCCAGCCCCTGTGGGACAGTTTTCCCACTCACACTCTCGTTTGAATCTGCGTTTTGTTCACTTTCCTGCCCTTAAAAAACACAAATCTGTTCATTGTTATTGTGAAGTGGAAAAAAAATTTAGAAACCCGTTAGAAATGGGACAAGTGCCCTGCTGTGGTATCAGCTGCTTTGGATTCTCTTTTGCCACGTGGTTTGAAGTCCATGAAGTGGTCCCACTCTGCTCCTGCAGTCCTGGGGGTCCCAGGGGTGTCCTGCCATGCCTATGCCCACACTTCACCCCCAGAGTGGGGCTGTGGACACAGCTCTGCTGCATCCTGCAGTGCCTGACCCAGCACGAGTGATGCCTCCAGCAAGGAAGGCTTTATATGGGGATTTATTGCTCGGGGGGGGTGCCCCAGGGGCTGCTGTTGCTTTTATACAGTCAGGTGTTCTCTGTCCTGCTTAGGGACCTGTCTTAGCAGTTCCTGCTGCTATCCAGGATGAAACTGTGCTTCCACCCTGGAACAGCCAGGGAGCACAAGAGAGCCGCTGGTGCCACTTAGAAGAGAAAGCCCAAGAGGAGGCTGCTGCGTGAATGCTATCTGGGATAGCTCTGGAGGAAACTGAGAAATTTTGGGGTCCCAGCAGCTCATCCCACTCCTGGCACTGCTGCACTGCCTGCTTGGGGCTGGCTTGTTGGGAGTTTGTGCCTTTGTGCCTACCGTTCATTTGGTGTGTATTAACCTGCAAGACCTGGGGCCAACTCCCCCCTCTCCACATTGCCTGGTGCCAGGGTGTTCAAACACACTTACCCTAGTGTAGAAACCTAAGACTTGAAACCACCAGGACAAAAGGAGCACGAAAAGAAATAGAGGCACAAAATTATTTACTCAAACACCTGACCAGAACCAGGAAACAAAATCAAATACTTTAATCTCTGTGTCAGAAGGGGATTTTGCTCCGGGGTGGTTTACATGCTGCTTTCCATGGCAGGAACCCCAGGACTGTTTGTGCAGGGACACACACACACAGAGATCTGCTTCTCTTGTAGCAGTGGGGTTGACTCAGAGAAGGGAATGTGAGAAGAAAAAGCAGCAGGAGTCTGTAGTAGCAAGATAGAGATGCTACAGATATGTTTCTCCCTTTGCAAAAGATCTGTGGCTAAAAAAGCATTTCCCACTGGCAGCGTGGTATCTTTTTCTAGTGCTAGATTCATGTTTCATCTCTTTTTATGCCTCCAGAACAGCGAGGGGAGATGGCAGGACCCGTGGGTGGGCTCTGTGGGGTGCTGCGTGCTTCCTCCCACCATTCATCAGCCCCAAGCAGGCACTTCAAACGTGCCGTGATGCGACTGCCACGTTCTGCACGTGCCCTGCAGCTGCTTTTCCCATGGGAAATGGCTTTGCAGGAAGGCTCACAGACCCTGTGGTTTCCAGGGGGATCATTAAGGATCAGAGGAGGTCTCTTGAGCACTTGTGTGCCAGCATGGTACAGCCCACGGTGCTGCTGCCCAGGGAGCATCCCCAGGGCAGGTTGGTGCCATCCTATCCTTTGAACCCATTGTATCCTTTGGCCATGGGTGGGACAGGCAGTGACAGTGGCTGCTTTGGTGGGGCAGGCAGTGACAGTGGCTGCTTTGGTGGGGCAGGCAGTGACAGTGGCTGCTGTGGTGGACAGAGGTTCCAGCGGGGCAGGTTGCAGCTTTATGAGCGTGCCAGGGCACTCACACACTGTCTCTGCAGGGACAGAGGCTCCTAATGCCTGTGCTGCCCAGGCTGCTCAGCAGTATGTGGGCCTCTGAATAAACAGAATTTAAGTCTGGAATTTGGCATTTATCTGGCTGGCCTGAAACCAAGGCCTGTCCCTTAAAAACGCACAGCCTCCCTTCACATCTCTGGCAGTTCAGTGCTTAGTGTGCCCTAGACATAAGCATACACTCCTACCAGTCTTGCAGCTCACGTCCTTTTCCATAGGGCTGCAGTTTTCCTGTGGAAGCAAACTCTGAAATAGCCTGTAATTGTAATATTACCTCCTAGGATCAGGTGCTACCTTCTCATAGCTGCATGTAGATCTGAATGTGTATTTGGACTGCATGACTTTGAGATTTAGAGATAGTACATGCATACCTTGTAATAACCCTCCTCTGCATGGGCACTACTTTTGTAAATGGTTGCTCAGGCGAGTTTGAACAGAATACAGTTGAAATGCTTTTCTAAATGTGTATCTCTAAATGATCCAATATCCAGGTGGTGCATTTCCATGTCTCTGCATGGCCAGCAATGAGAGCTGCTGGTGGGCAGACCCTGGCTCCCTTTTGGGGTGAGCTGCAAGCCAGGACTGACTCCAGCCCTCCTGCACAAGCTGCTTTTGCCCCACCAGTGTAACAGCAGCCAACAGCCCAAACTCTCCCAGATGGCCTCATGCGAAGCACACCTGGTTACACTGCTTGCTCTGGATCATGCAGGAGGTCACAGCTGCTCCCCATCACCCTGGGAGTGGTGTTGGTGCTGTGGCTGCAGCCCTGTGGGGCTCCCAGCAAGAGCTGCTGCAGGACTGGATGTATCCCAGAGGGGTATGGCAGCTGTAAGGGGGTGAGTTGGTGTGGGGAGGCTGCAGATGGAGAGGGAGGGAATTGTCCCTGTTGTGTGGTGGTTGCTGGAAAGGGAGTTTCCTTGGACCCACCACTGTGTGCTGCATGGAGCAGGTGCAGAGAGAAGTGACAGCAAGGGCTGGGCTGTGCTCTGAGGGCACCTGGGCTGGCTCTGCTCTTGTGCTGGGGGGTGAGCCAGTTCACCCCTGAAGTCAGGGTGAGGTGTGTGGTGGCTGTGGGCCTTCCTTGGGCCACGATGTGGGTGGCTGGGCAGGGGGGTGCCAGAAATGCGGCATGGAGGTTTTCCCTGTGTCTCATCTGTCTTCACTAAGCTCCAGTTTTTGACTTTGCTTTCGTGTGGTTTATTGCTAATTTTCCTCCTCCCCTTCTGAAATGGTTCCATTAGCAGGGTGTTAAAGAAATCTCTCTGAGATAATTATCCCAGATCTCTCTAGCGGCTTTGCCACGTGCTGGTGTGTCTGCATGGCTGTATTAATAGTATCATACTACTACATCCCAGTGCTCAGCCTAAGGTGCTTCCCATGCTGAGGGCTGAAGCCTGAATAGCAACACAGCAAGTGAAAGGAGCTTCTGCCTCACCTCCCAGACACCTCAAAGCCATGGGGTGTGAGAAGACCCTTCTTGCTGGTCTTGCACCAACTCTGAGTTTGGCCCCCTGATCCAGTTGGGATCTCCCATGTGTTTCCCTGCCCACAGCAGCTCTGGGGAAGGAGCAGAGCAGTGGTGTTTTGTGGCATTGTACATCACAGGAGGAGCATGGAGTGTGGATGGCTGAAATGTGCAGCTGCTTTAACAAGTTGCTGGTCCTTGCAGCAGAGCTGCCTTTCATGGGAAGGCTCTGCCACCTGCTCAGCCCTGCTCAGATGTCTGTGGCCATGCTCCTGACAGCACGTGGGCTGGTCTTTCACAGGGAGCAGGGATAATGCACCTGGAGTCATATTAAAATGTTAAAATTGCAAACGAAACACAGTCAAGAAGGATTGCTTGCAGGCTTGTGCACAAGGGAGCACAGGGTGGCTTTCCCCCCTCCCTTGTCTCCATTCCAGAGGTTCAGGTGAGGCTCCTCACCAGCCTTCTGCTCCTCTGGAAGGTTCTGGTTGCAAATTCCTTAAGGAAGCCATGCCCTGGCCCCTGCCTCCTCTCCTCAGGGCATGTGGATGTGGGCTGGTGTCTGCTGGATGCTCTCCATCACCTCACTGGTGGGAGGAGAACGAGAACCCATTTGGAATCAGGGATGATGTAGTTTCTCCAGGTGACATAAAGAGACTCTACATTTCGTTCCAGCTGTTCAGCAATAGAATATATTTAACTTAAAAAAAAATATATCCACAGTATCAAAACACAAGAAGTCACAATCCAATACTCAGTGATATAAACAGGCATACAAATGGTCCTCTGCAACCCCTCAGTTTGGCCTCCAGTACGAAAATGAAAGGTGGGCTCACCAGCAAGGTGCAAGCAGCACAGGTGGGCAGGCCCCAGCTCCCTCCTTCCAAAGGTGGAAAATCTGAGGTACCCATGCATGGCCAAAACCAAGGAGAACACAGACTTGAGCCAGCAATCTCCCTCCCAGCGTTGGGAGCAGTGCCTGTGCCGGTGTGTGGTGGCTGAAGGAGAGATAGGGGCCAGGGTGGGATCACTTGCTGGGTGTCTGGGGGAGCACTGCCATCACCTCCAGCAGTGCTGGTAGAGGTGAGCCCATTTTGATCCCAGGCCAGAATGTGCCATTCCCTTTCACCTGCCTGTTGAAAGCATTCTCAGAGCTGGAAGATGGATTGAGCTACTCTGGCCTTTGCCATTCTTAGAGCCTGAACAAAACCTTCACTTCCCACTGCACCATTCCAGCAGTGGGGACAGGGCGTTGTTGCTTCCCTCTGGCCAGTTGGGTGGGTGCAAGAGAAGCAGGACTTGACTTTTAGCCTGACTTAGGTATTTGTACAGATGACAAGAGGAGGAAGGATGGGTTGTGGGTAGCATGAACTCTGGTGGGATAAACTGTAATTAACCCTGGTTCAGATGGTGCCACTGTGACCTGTGGTTTTGCACCATCCTGCTCCCACAGGGGGATGGGAATGCTGAGGGCCAGTTTGGGAAATAAATTGCAGCACTGCTTCAAAGTGCATAGTGTGTGTGAGCATGAAGCAAAGTCAGCTGGAAAATACAGGGCTGTGTTGCCACACCATGGTTAGCAAGTGTGTGGGACAAGACATTGCTTTTACCTGGGAGGAGTGTCAGATCTAGCCAGGGTCTCCTTGTACCTGGGGTTTAGATGTCAAGGAACTCCTGGTGGTATCTTGCAGTGGATGCAGTTTGGGCTGGGTAGCAATAAAATGCACCCTGGCTGGAGTGTATGCATGTCTGTGAACTGCAGAGTCAGCCCAGAACAAGCAGGAGGCAAGGAATAAAACAGCCCTCTGAAGAATACTGGGTCTGTGAGCTTCAGCTTCCTGTCCACAGAGCTCAGCACAACAACAGCAAGACTTAATGGGCAATTTCCAGCACAACTGGAAGGTCTTTAATAAAATGTCTGAAAGTCAGTGCACAGGAGGAGGGACATGCAGCTTTGTGTCCTGGGAAGGTGGAGTCCCCTCTCACATCTAACTCTCCTGACCCCATGGCTCCATGTGCCAGAGCTGCTCCCAGCACAAAGCCCCAGTGACCTTCTTTGCTCTGACTGCCACAGCTGAGAGGAACAGTATGGCCAGCCAGGCAAAAGGCTGGGAGGGTGGGAGTCACCCGCCAAAGCATCTTCTCCATGGTAAATATGGATTTGGCAACACCAATGAACTTGGGAAAATGGTCCTGTGCCCTGTGCTGCAATGGGGGCTGACCCAGGATGAAGCTGTTTTTTCACTGAGTTGGTTCCTACCTAGAATTGCTTTCCAATGAGTAGTAAATCAGTTGTTCAGCCCAGCTGGGTTCAAGTACCAAGAAGCTATTTCATTAAAGCCCTTTTTTGGTTTTGGTTGTTGTTTTGGTTTGATTTGGTTTTGAGAAACCTGGTTTTCACAATCAGAAAGGAGCAGCAGAAAATTCTGTGTTGCTGGCAGATGGGGGTGAAGCAACTGCATTTATTCTTCATTACCCACATCACTCTTTAGCTGTAAAACTTGCATGTCAAACATCTACATTTACAAAGCAGGTGATGGTGCTGGGATAGCTGGGGGCCATGCACTTGGGACCACAGGAAGGGCTCGGGCTGTGCCCTCTGGCTGTGCTGTTTGCAGCTGGTCACAGGCACAGCTCCCACGGGAGGGAGGGGAGTTATCCAGCCCCGGTGGAGGCGTTGTCCCCTCTGCAATGCTTCGGAAGGAGGTGTGAAAGCGCTGGGTCGTTAATTTTACCCTAAAGAGAAAGAAAGTAATTGTTGATAGGGGAAAGCTCCAGATTTTCACTGGTACCTGTGTCTTCACAGCGTGGCTCTTGTCAGTGCCTGGATTGTGGGCACCAGACTCACCCCTCCAGATGCTGCCAGCTGCCCACAGAACTCTGACCTCTTGTGAGAGGAGGAAAACCAAGTCATAGAGGAGGGTGTTGTACTAAAGATGGGAAGAGCAGAACCCGCTGGTGACCGCAGCCCTGCCCTGGGCTCAGTCTCTGAGCTCCCCACTGCTTGCCACGGGGAGACCTGAAGCCAGGGTGAGGGGCTCACCATTGTCTGAGAGCAGGCTGCTGCTCACATCTGGGCTGGGGGGAGCCAGTTTTATTCAGGGCTATTGGAAAAAGCAATGGGATTTATCATTTTTATTACTACCACAGGACAGCCGTGGGGAAAATGCAATTTGATGCTTGCGGCCTGGTAACAAGGCCAATCTATAAAGTGGCTCCTGTCCTAAACCTGAGAGTGGGAAACTGTCTGCTTCTAATTAAAATCAATTAAGCAAGTCACCACAGTAGGCAAAAATAAGGCTTTTTGTTCTTGGTGTCATTTGACAGATTTCAGAGCCTCTGAAGTGGTGCATTGAGTGTTTTCTTGGCTTCACCAATTCACTAAGAAGGTGAAAGATAAGAGAAAATTTTACAGAGCAAAACCTGAAAGTAAATTATAAATCCCACACTTCATCTGTGCAGTGCTCTGACTCCCTCACGCAATAAATGCAGACAGCACCCAGACCTAACCAAAGTGATGGTCTCAGAAACCTGCAGCCATCCCAGGGAGGGCAGCATTTCCATTCAATCCTTTCCCAGCCAAACCAATTCTCCCATCCTAACTAGTGCACAGAGACAGACAGCAGCAAATGTGGCCCAAAAGGTCAGCAAAACCCTGGTGGTGCTGATGAGGAGCTTATTCTGTCCCTTTTTGTTCCCAGGGGACCTTCTGTGCAGGTGCTAGGTCTCTGGGATGGGGCATCTGCTGCTGACGTGATGCCACAGGAGTTATGACTTTTGGCAGTTCAGGCCCAGTGAAAATATCAGCTTGTTTATTCCTCCCTCCTGAGGCTTTTTGTGCTGCCTGTCCACTACACATTTAAATCCACCTTCTAAAAGTGAACCCAACTTCACAGGCACCAGAAGAAATTGTTCTTAAGCCACACTTGCTGCTCCTATTTCAAAGGTGTTGCCTGGTTCCTTTATGCCTGTTATGCATGTCTGCAGGGGCTCCTGCACACCTGTCCTGACACCACAGCACAACTGATTTGATGCTCAGGCAGTGTTTGGTGTTTGCACTTGACCCAGCCATTCTGGTTTGGCAAAGGTGAGGGGTAACCATTGCTCTTTGTCATTGCACATGCTACAGCCGAGTGGGCAAGTGGTTTGGGTGACTTCAGAGCCACTTATAGACCTCAGAAAAAGAATTCTCACTGATGACAGCAGCAGCTTGTGAAGGTGTTTTCCAGATGTGCTACAGATTCCCTGTTTGCTACTGGTTAGGATCCTATTTACCCCTTATTTTCCCAGGTGGGAAGTGGAGGAGCAGAGATGGTCTGTCTCATAGGACATGCTGAAGCTCAGTTCTGTAACACCTGTATAGCCCAGCAAGCCACAGAGCTGCAGATGCCACAGCACAGGCCACTCCCTGAACCAATCCCTTTGGTAAAAATGGACAAAGACACTTGAAATAGTGAATGTTGTGAGCAGAAATCCTTCTGGTCATCGCTGTGGCAGTGGTACTCTTGAGGATCTCATCCCCTGGCTTTAGTGCAGATTCCAGATGGCTCTTGGGTTTTCCACCACTGACCTGCTTGATTGGTTTTCTCCAGCTGCTGCTCTCCTCCAAGCCTCTCCCTGGCCAAGCAATGTAACCATGGCTCACTGCAGCCTGGCATTCTGGCAGGATAACTGTGCTGCTTTTCCTCTGGAGCACTTCCAGCCCTGACCTAACAAAAAGCACCAACTGGTACTTGCTTTCCAAGGAAACCTTTGCTCCTCTGCTGCCTGTGTTGTGTGGCTTGTGTCGCTCTAAAAACAGATGGGTTTTCATCTCTTTTCCTCTAAATGACAAATGCAAAGTCTTCCTGTCTGCACCATGTCATGATCTTCACTTTCTATGCAGTAGCCCAAAAAGTGGAGCTCAGCATCCCTGTTTGGATACAGGGCAGTGACTAAATACCTGTTTCTGTCTGTCCAGCATGGCAGAACAAACAGCAGTTTAGGGTGTGAGGCAAGAGAAATGCAGCCTGAATTATACCACAGGTTTGCTTAGGAGACCTGTCCTTTTTCCTTACTGTATACTGCGAGCTGTACAAATACACTGCCCTACCTGAAGTCTGGCTTGTTAAAAATGTATTAATTGTTTGTGTTACAATTAATTAATTAATTGTTTGTGTTACAAATTTGCCTCCTTCTCTATATATATATTTTTTTTTTCCAATTAATACTGCTGAGATCAGAGGAAATACTTGAGCCAGCATCTTCACAATGAAAGCTGGTGCTCCCAAGGCTCCTAACTCTCTGCCTCTTTTCTCCTGTTCAGGCAGCCCTAAGCTTTTTATAGTGCCCAGCCACGAAAGGGTCAAGTGGAAAAAGTCTGTCATTCCTTCTGATGCCTGCACTGGATAAATGGACATAGTTTAGAGGGGTCCTGTCCCATAACAAGTTAGTTGGGACTGTGAATGCTGCTTTGTCCTCCGCCCTGAAGAAGGACCTCCTGAGCTGGGAGGGCAAAGAGGTACTGGTGTCTGCTTCCCACCGGCTGTGGGCTCACAGTGCAGTGTGGGCATTGAGCAGGGAGGAACCTTGCTGGGAAGAGAGGTGTTGCATTAAATCCAGACAGTGTCCCTGCATCAGGAGAACAGCAGGGGTTGTGGGGAGGCTAAGCCAGAGGTTTGCTAAACCAAAACACTAAAGGAACTTCCCAGCAGGTCTCTGTGGGATCACTTGACAGTTCACTGACACTAAGCTGAGATCCTCTTAACCTGCTGCAGTCAGGGATCACTCCACCTGCAGCCACTGCAACTCTGCACATCATGTTCAAACCATTGAATCACAGCCCCATCCCATTTGGCTACGGGCCTTCCAACCACAACAGCTCCCAAGCACTTGTCTAGTACCAGGTAGTGATCCTGGAGTTTTGGATACTTACCTGGGGAAGCAGAGCTGGGATGCTGCTTCAGCCAGGAGCACTCATTGTGCTCTAAGGGGATCCATTTTCAAAGCATGGAGACACTGCTAGCAAGTCCCTTTCAGGGGCAGGAAAAGTCTCATTCTTTGACTCCCCAGTACTGTTTTATATGAGAGGCTTTTGGCAGTACTTGCTGCTCTACAGGCGAGGTGCTGCAGGACACCAGTCCTGTGCTAGGAAAAGTGTTCCCTGGGCTGGTGGGAGCTCTGGTCTTTGCATGGTGGCAGCGGATGGAAGCAGGGGATGGCCCCAGTCACTTCAGCGGTACAATATGATTTACAGCAAGCACGTTTCTCAAGACATCTGTGGGGACAGAGCTTCAGTGAACATCATATATACACAGACAGCAGAGGAGCCTGGGTTGGACCCTCCACTACTGCAAAGCAGTCACGGATGGAATCTCAGGGTGGGGAAAAAAGAGCCACTGTTTTGCTTTTACATCCTGTACATACATCTATGAATAGCTCCTTGGCATTTGATGTTCACAGCCAGCGTCCTTTAACAGCAAGCATAAAAAGGAGGCAAAACATCTTCAGCGACCTCCCCCTGGGAGCAGAGGGAAGGCAGGATCTCCCTCTCCCTTGGTTCAGCTGCCTGCCTAGGTGCCACCTTCGCCAAGGGTGTTTCCTTGTCCTGGCACCCTCGTCCTCGTCGGCCGCCCCCCGCGTGCTGGCCAGGACCAGTCCAAGCCAAGCCGTGCTTGCCTCATCTCCGCTGCTCAGGGGCATCAGTGCAAGTCTGCGCCGGCTGCTCTGCATCTCCGCTCCGCTGGACGGGCAGGTGAACCGGGCAGACACAAGGAGACAAAACAAAGGGGACAAGAAGAGAGACAAAGGGTAATGAAAAGGTCCGTGGCCCACGGCTGCCAAAGGAAATCTGTCGCCGTGTTTCTCTGACCATACTTGTCCCAGCCACTACAGCTGCTGTGGGATCCCCTGTTCCTTGTAGCCTGTGAGGAGGGAGGGGAAGGGAACATGATTAGAGTTAATTCCAAATGAGGACCCTCGATGAGGCTCAAGCAAGCCACGAGCCTGGTTTACCAGGAGTGGCAAAAACCACGTGGGAAAACAGGAGGGCTGCCACATTCTCCCTCGTGGCCAGGCTGCCCAGGGCAGCCCTCTGCCCTGCTTTAGCTGCCTGGTGCTGCCTCCTTCCTGGGCACAGCCATGTGGATGCTGGCAGCCAGCCCGGCTGCTCTGGCACCCTCCTGCCACCAGCCTGGCACGGGCGCCTCCGCTTGAAGAGATTGTAAGAGCACAGCAGGTACCAGTGGTCACCAATTCCAGCCCAATAACCTAAAGTTTTTATGGAGTGTGTTTTCCTGCAGTGCAGGTGAAATGGATGCCCTTGTATCCTGCTCCAGAGACATGGCTGCTCCCAAGCACTGCCCTGGTAGGTCGTGCATCTGACCTTGGGATACATCTCTCCTTGGGATCTACTTGTGTTTGCACCTTGTCCCCCCAGAGCACTGCCAGGTAGGAGGAGTTTGGTTTTCTCTCTCCATCTTTTTGTTCCCATGCTGGGTTTTGCTGATGGTGCTCCCCAGCAGCAACCAATTTGCACTGTGGTTTACACAGCTGAGCAAACGCCTCTGGGAGGAGAAGGGAAATGCCTTGAATCGCAGGTTGAAGTGTCAAACAGAGATCTTGGGATGCCTCTAATGATATTCTCACTGCCTGGTTCTGCACTTGCTTTGCTCCAGCCCAGCAGAATTACAGCTTCTCTCAGGGCACAGCAGCCATCCATTGTGCCTGGAGGAAACAGATTTTTTCAGCAGGAGGAAACCGATTTTTTCAGCAGCAAAACCAAGGAAACTGCCAGAATCCCTGTTCCTTCATACCCTTTCCTCTTCTTGTGGCCATGAGGTTTGATGCACTTCCCAGGCAAGAAAGTGAAGCCTGTGGGGTCCCACTGTGTGACAGCCACATGGATGTTGCAAGGGCTCAAGCAGCCTGTCCTGCTGCTTGTCACAGCTCCTTGAAGTCCCAGATTATTTACTGTCCTGCACACAGTGGTGGAGGGCAGGCTGCAAAGCCCACAGGGGACAGCTTCATCCCCTGATGGGGCTAGGGCAGGGAAAGGCAATAGGAGAGCATCTGCAGCTCCTGTGCTAGGACAGGATGATGAGAAAAATACTGGATTTCTTATCGCTTTCCTAAGTGGCTGCAATGACTGCTCCAGAAGCTTTCCCCACTTTCCTTTCAAGAGAAGCTTGTTATTCTGACTGTATCAATGCAAAAAAATCTCTTTATTAAAGAAGCAAACTGCCCTTACTTGCAGTGCCTGCCACAGTGAAGATCTTTCAACTAAAAAAGCCTTTAAAAATATGGAGTGGCTTTTTTTCTTAGCTTAAGTAACATAAGTAATCTGTCATTTTTGTATTTTGAATTTAAAAGAAGTCTGAAATTTCATATCTCAGAAGAATGCTTAACTTTTCAAACAATTTCCATTTATGCTTTGTAATGTTTCTTTCTAACCTTTGTGTTAGGCTTCTCTCAGTCCCTTACAGAAACTGAACACAAAATACCAGCAGGTGCCAGAATCCCTATCTGTAAGGGACTTTTTGTTCAACTAAGAATTGACTCCAGCAAGTGAACTTTGCTGTACTTCGTAAAAAATCCACACATTTACCCAGGTTTGGCATCCTGGACCCCCACTGTTAAACAAGCACAAGGGACAGAATAATGACACTTAACTGAATTTCTGCCTATTGTGTGCTGCTGAACAGAAAGACTCTCATTTCTTTCAAACAGCTTTTTCTAGGGGGCAAAATGATGATTTCACATACATTTATGTTTTAAGTGTGAGTCAGCTCTCTAGGCAAGGTGAGCTGGCTGGAAACTTGTAATTTGGGCTTGTCTATGGCATTGGTTTAATTTGTTTAGGGAACAGAGTTAAAAAAACCAACAAAGAACCTTATGGACCAGAAAGGTGGGACCTGCCTTCAATCCTTAGCTAAAGCAAGAGTAACTTACTTGTACAGCCATGATTTATTGAGATATAAGAAAATTAAGACTGGGAAATCCTTTCAGTCTGGCTGTTGCTGTTGAAACTGGCTGGAAGGAAGTTACAGTGGCCAAGTCTGTCTCTTTACATGACCATAAGCCAAAAAATGACCTGTCCTATGCTGAACTTTTTTATTACAATACTTCAGACTTAACTTATCAAGTAGTTTATACGTGAAAAGAGTTATTGCATTTATTGCATAGGAATAGCTGCTCTGTATGAAGCAGCTTTATGTTAATATGCCTGCAATAAAACTAAGGTGCAATTCTGTAGAACAGAGAGCTCCGGGTTCAGGATTAAGTGGGCCTGTGCACAAAGTCACTGAATTAATCGAGTTTACCTGAAGTTGCACTTCTCCTGTAAACCACTGCATGTAAAATTGAGAAGAAGAGAACCCAGGTTGTGCACAGGCTGTCCTTCTGGGACTGGGTTCATGCCGAGGGTGGCTTCAGGATGCCCTCAATGCTGAAATGGGTTCCTGCTCTGTTCCAAGGGTGCCCTTGGGGCATCCCCAGGGGCATTTCAATGCTGTGTGAAGGTTTTCAGCATCCCTGGGGCTGTGCAGCCACAGGACAGACACAGAGACAGTCGGACACACACATGTAAAGGCACGTGGCTGGACTTGGGCTGGGAGTGGGCAGCGCTGGCCAAAGTGAATTTCAGATGTCCTGTCCCAACCGATGCTTGCTGCTCTCCATGGGAAACTGCCTCGGAGCATGAGGAGGAGGAGGAGGAAGAACAGAAACAAACTTACCTTGTGAGACTTTGATGGTGAACAAAAGGAGGCAAAGGAACATGAAAGAAAGAGAGAGGGAGAAATGTAACTGTAGATGATATATCTGAAACACATGGAGAACCAGAAGAGAATGAACAAACTGAGGCTGCAGGGTAAACAGAGAACAGCTGCTCTACCATCAGACATTCACACCAGGGCTAAACATTTCTTAAAATCCTTGTACTTGAAGTGGATCATTTCATTTGGGACTCTTGTTTAAAGATGACAGGGGAATCCTTATCTGCTTTTCCAGCCCCAAGCAGGACAGGCTGGATAGGCTAACACCTCTGAGCAATGCTCCCAGAAACTCTCTCCTCTGTGCCACTGGCATTTTGTGGGTTTGACTGAAGGGGAGCCACTGAAGGAAGGCATCAAGCAGGACATCACAGTGTACCAAAGGGCTCATGGCATACCATTCACAGTCCCAGAGCTGGGACAATTACATCTGAAGAGTTTTTGGCAGCTTCCCTGCTCAGTCTGCTTGTGCCCACAGGTAACTCACAACCACAGCATGCCTCAGCCTGTGGTGTTGCAAACACTGGTGCTATTTAACATTCCTACAATGTTTTAAGAACCTGCCCCACTGCTGCAATTGGTGGGAAACTGCAAAAAGGGTATTTTAACTACTTTCCTCAGGCCTAGTTTGTAAAACAGCTCTTTTTAGATCTTTTTTTTTAAATGTAGTAAGTCCAAGCAGGCAATATGTCCTTGGCATTTTCTTCATCTCATGAAGGGTTACTGGTTGGTTTGGGCCTCCTGCTCCCCTTTTCTTCCCAGGACAGCAGTGGTACCTGCCCCAGCAGGGGCCCTGCAGAGCAGAGAGGCTCAGTGATGCTTTCCCTCGGAGTCTGAGCATACAGCAACTGTGCAATCATCTGCTGCTGCTTCTGGCAGGGTCTGAACAGAGTAATTAGCACAGGAGTGATGAGGATGGCATGATTACAGGTGAGTTCTCACTACTGGCTGGCAATCAGCCCCAAGAGTTGGCCAAAGTCTCCATCCAGTGAACCTGAAGCGATGGTGCAGCCAAGCACATCATTCAGAGGCCGAGAGCTGGGGGAGGGCTTCCTTCAGAAACCAAGCTTGATTTCTTGACTGCATTCAGCAGAGGCAAAACAATGCCTGGACAAACAGTCCCTGATTTGTGTCCCCTGTGCCACATCAGTGTGACCATACTATGTTATTTCTCTGGCATTTCTGTCAAGAAATGGCACACAGCCTTTTATACCAGGCTCTGAGCAGGCAGGGACTTCCTGGAAAGTTCATTCTGCACAGTGGGTTGATGAAGATGTGGGCTGGGACAAGGTGTGCCTGTAGCTGAGGGAGCTTTGCCTGGAAAGCCTTAGGAGGCTTGTTTTCCAGTTGGCTTTGGCCAGCTAATTAGCTGTGGTTTGCCTCAGCTCTGTGCATCATTCCCGCAGAGCTGGCGAGGGGCTCCAGGAGAGCACACTGCAGCAGCACTGCCCAGCCATTTTTTGGCAGGAGAGTTAAGTGCTCCCTAATTCTACCTTTGCCTTCAGACAGCAGGTACAGCAGAGGACAGTTCCCAAAGCCATCTGGCTGCTTAAAGAAGATATCTCTGGTGTCCAGTGGGGCCAGCTGGCAGTTCATTTAAATTAGCAGAGAAAATACCCTGTGCTGTGGTGCTGCCAAAAGTAATTAAGTGTGACAGCAAAACTGCATTCAATTTATCTTCCTTCTGGGATATTATCCTGATAAAGGGCACCCTAGAGGAGATGAGGGTTGGACAGGTCAGTCAGTCTCAAGTCCCACCTTGTACCTGACAGACATGGAGCTACCCACTCTTGGAGTCTTCCAGGGACAGAGAGAGCAAATCCTGCCATACTACCTCTGCAGCATTTTGACCTTACTGGAGGAAAAACATCCTCTAATTTCCACACAGGTCCTTCCTGGTGTTACTCAGGTCTGTCTTAGGCTGAACTGCTGCCCTCTCACATTTACTAGCCTGCTGAACACCTTCATCATCAGCATGCTACTGTCTTGTGGTTCTCTGGACTCTCTCCAGGTTTTCCACTTGAAGTACAGCCTCCAAAGCTGGCCACAAGCCTCACCACAGCTTTATGCATGCAAAGAAAGGTGATGGGATCAGCGAATGCCCTACAAGCTCTGCTCCCACCTGCCTGTGTGGTGTTCATTCCCTCTGTAGCAACGTTCCCCCTGTGCCGCTTGTGACTCACTGCAGCCACCACATCCTTCCCTGAAAAACAAATTGTTCCCTAGTGTGTATTTATGCAGTTGATTAGTCCTTCTGTAGAGTCCTGGGCTTGTCCCTACAGAGCAGCACTTTCTGTTTCCAGACCATTTCTCTGGCTGCATGGATCCAGGCACTGCCCTCGTTGTGCCTGCCGTGCTCACAGCCAGCGCTGGTGTGCGTCTGGGGAGCCTCTCTGCCTGCCCATCCTCAAACCACAAATGAAAATACTGAGCAGAGCTGCACAGGAGGGAGCTTTCCACACACCTGTCTTTATCTCTTTTCAGGTCAGGAAAATCCATTTAGAGGAAAGTTTTCAAGTGCATTTTCACGCAGGCCACGTCCCCCTGGCTTGCTGGCAGGAACGCTGTGTGAGACAGGGTCAGCATCTGAAGGTTAGCAGGGATGGCTGACTGCTGCCACCTCTCATGAAATTAATTCCTCTGCCATCAAAGGGAATCAAGCCAGTCTGACACAGCTCACTCTGGACAGAGCCACGGTGACTTTGTGGGGGTGTTTTTTTATTTTCTAAATGCATGCGAGTCACTTACTTGATTACTTCTTCCAGGAACTGAAGCATACCTGATTGGCCTGTAATTCTTCTCCTTTTTCCCTCATTAAGGACAGTTTGCCATTATCCTCAGACCAGATTCCCCCTTTCCATGCCTGGGAAATAGCACTAGAAGATGAAAAGCTGGAAGGAGTCTCCTGTTCAAAAGGCATATGGATGTGGCACTTGGGGAACACGATTCAATGGTGGAGAAGATGGTGATAGCTTGGACTCAGTGATTTTGGAGGTTATTTTCCAACCTCAGTGATTTTATGATTTTGTGGTTCTAACTCCCTCCCAACTCTCTACCAGCTAACAGAGGCAGGCCCAGGTACAGGGAGTGAGGTGATTATCCCTTAGGGAAAGCCTGAGCAGAGTTCCTGGCCCTCAGCTGCTTCCCACCCTCCTCCCCCTCATTGCTAGCCCTCACCAGCTCAGACAGGACCTGCTGTGTCCTGCCTCTAACCCATTCAAATAGCCTGGCACCCTCACAGGGACACATGGTATTGACCATTTCAAGGCAAGGGACTAGAGGTGGGCAGTGGTTTCACACTTTTTAAACTATTTCACATCTGCACCCAGATTCAAGTTGCAGTGGTGTACAGTTCCTGTCCAGTGCATCCAATGGTTTGCACAAAAACAAAACCCAGCCAAAGCAAATGGGCAGTGTCCTTAAATGAAATGTCTTATTTCTTGCATTAGAAACATGGTTTCCTTCTTAAGTTATTATTTTTTAAAATATGATAACAAGAACCAACCAGTTTGAGTCTGACAGGGCTGTTTGATTGAGGTAAGAGCAAGCAGTCAATTCATTCTTTGTGTCGATCAAGTTTTTTATTTTCTTTTCTTCTCCATCAACCAAGAGCTGCTGCATTTAGCCACTACTTTCTCTGCATGGCAAGTAAACTTAAAAGCAGCTATTTAATGAGATGGCAAGAAATTGCCAAGGGCTGCAGCTTGTCAGATGCTGCTGGTGAAACATAAGACACATTGACTCCTCTTGCCGTTCTCTACCACCAGAGGAATTAAATACTGCTGGTGTGCTTGGGGACCACTTGACCTGAACATTCCCACTACATGCTGTTCATCCATTCTCCTGCCTCCCAAACTGCTGGAATCCAGCCAGATGTGGGGAAGAGTGTTTTGGGGATACTTCTAAGCTCTATGGCTTTCCCCAACAGTGAAATTGGAGAAGACCCTCCCAGTAAGACCCTCCTAAGCACCAACCCCGCTTAGGTGGAGAGCAAGGCTTTGGAGCAAAGCAAGTCAGTTTCAGTGGTGGTTCTTTGTCAGGACAGATGCTTTCCTGACTCTCCCCACACCTGCAGAGTGGGGTCCTGCCAGACAGCGACCCACACATGGTGATTGCCCCACAGAGGAAGAGCAGAAGAGTTTATGGTTATGAACATTCACTTATGGCATTACACACAAATCTGGCAGATTCTTGAAGACACATCACATGTGGACAGCAATTCACAATTTAGCCTCAGAAATAACCTGCTCTGCAGGTACATCTGGAAGGAAATGTGGTAGATGGTTTGCAGGATAAAGCAAAGAGCAGTACTGCCTTTGTCCTGAGGAAAGCTTTTGCTTTGCACATGTTCAGGTTTTTAATATCCATCATTTGCTCTGCATGGGGACTGCCTTAACTGAAGCTGGCTCAGAAATTATCAAGTGGTTCCGTGAGAGGCTTTAACCCCTGGGTTTAGCAGCTGAAAATGTGCACTGGTTCCCTGCTTTTTTTTTTCCCAATTTCATCAATTTTGTCTTTGGATGGATTCCTGGCAGCTTCCTGAGATCCTCTCTCCCCCTCTGTTGTGCAGCCACAGATGTCATCAGCAGAAATGACAAAGTGGAGCCTCTTCAAACCAGAAGGCAAAAGCTGCTGGTAAGATGGTCTCTGGGAGAAGGGCTTGCTTTGGGAACTGCCTGTCCTGTCAGCCTGACAGGTCTCAGACCTGTTTGGTTTGAGGGCTCGCCCATCGGCCTCTGGAAGGGAGTGGGGTCTTGCAGATGCCACCAGCACCCTGAGCTGTGTTTCTTCTGGCTTTCAAGGTGAGACGTCACCTCCATCCTATACACCAGGATACAGGAGATATGACACAACTTTCACCCCAGTAAAAGCCTCTACCAGATGAAAGTTACAGAGCCTGTGTTCTGGTATGGTAATATCTACTAACTGGTGACTTAAATTATGTACATTTAAAAAAGGATTCTTCTTTCCTTAAACTAATGTTTTAGTCAACTCAAAGGGTCTATGGGATGTTGTTCTAGGAGCAGCAAAACATTTCTGGCTCAGCCTAAGAACTTGGTCTGAAACATGAAAAAATTCTCCAAAACAATGGGTAAATATATCGTGGGGAGGAAGGGGAGGGTCCAGGAGGGTCCCCAGGGCTTTTCTGGGGACAGCTGGCCCTGGGAGCAGAAGTGGCCTAGCAAGAAGGTCTCACTAACCACAGATTTGCAGCCAGATTCACGAGGGACAAAGGGCTTTCTTGTTTGAATGGATGTGACCAGGGCAGAAGGGGCTCCAGACAGCAGATTTCACAGTGCTCCCCCTTCCTGCGCATTTCATTTCATCCAGGGAAGCTCCTGACCCACGTGGTGGGATGGGAGACTGTCACAGATATGTCACAAGGCCCATTCCCACTGCCTCCTAGCAATATCTCTGCCTACGGTGTTTCTCATGGACTTGCAGAGCCCATCCTGTGTCTCTTTCTCCCTGGAGTGCAGCTCAGTGGCCTGCAGGGACATTATCTGGGACCCAGTTCCATTGCCAGGGGGAGGAGAAGTCAGGAGGGCGAGCGCACTGTACTTACTTGCAAGAATGACCATGTCCATGCCCCAGAATATGCTCATGATCCAGCCCACCATGACGATGGCCGTGAGGATCTGGATGAGGGCGGCGGCGATGTTCAGCCAGAAGACACAGCACATGTGCCGGTCCGGGAGGTCGGTGCGGGCCCCGCAGAGCACGGTGAACGCTGACACGAACGTTCCTGGGGACACAGGAGCAGCACACGCCCGTGAGAGCCACGGCAGCACCTCCTGACACTCGCTGCTGCTATGTGTAGTAGGTATAATTCGCGCCATTTCTAGTATGATATATGTGATATTGAATATTTGTTGGAGTATGCATGTTTGTATTAGGAGTCCCCCCCCCACCCTCACAGGTGAGACCTAGTGTATATTAGAACCTGATTTACACGTAAAAGGATGTGGCTCGGCCAGGAGATGGGCCATATGGGGACCATGGAAATCCTCGGACAGATACATGTGAATGTAGGGTCCCGTAAACTTCATCAAGGGATTAAACAACTCCGAATTGTTCTTCATCACTAAAAGAGAAAATCTTATTAACTATGGTCTCTGAATGGAAGAAAAGACTGACTGCTGAAATCTTGGCCTCAGGCGGAATTTTCCCTGTAAAAACCGCTTGTGCCAGGATGGAGGTGTGTGGGCACAGAGGAAAACCTCTGCTGAGGCTGACTTCTTTGTTGCACACCCAGGGCCGACCCCGGGCTCGGCTCTGTTCTTTCCTTGTGGCTGGCTAGATAGAATTTGATTGCAAAATAAGTATTTTATTTTTTCATTTTAATTTGGCTGGACACATTTTCATTTATACCACTGCCCTCAGGCCTGCTCCCCTCGTGGCCTCCGAAATTTACACTCTTGGACAAAGCCTCGCTTCCTGTACTTGAAGACCAGGGTGGAAAAATCACTCCTTGGGTTTTGGCTCCTTCCACCCCACCCCACCTGAACGCGGACAAAAAATCAAAACCCCACAATTCCAATAAAGATTTGTAGGGACGGTATGTTTATTGCAGCGCTGGACGCGTGTGAGGGATCTTTCCCCTTCAAAGGACATGCGTGCCCCTGAGGACTCCTGATCCTTTTTTATTACTCCTTACTAATTTCCATATGCATAGCATTTCACCATAGGTTCATTCATATTCATTCTGTTGATTTCTTGTTACACTTACAGCTAGTTACACTTGTATTCAGTTTTTTGTCAGAAAGTACCGAAAGAACTCCTGGGTCACTCTGCCCTGTCTGTTTCAAGGTTCGAGGAGTCTTTCTTATCTCTTATATTTTTAGCTTGGAAAATCGCATTCTTTCTCCTTAGCTGGGGCAGTTTTACTAGTGTTGCAAAGTTACCAGACTAAACAGCATATTTTACCTATGTTAGCAAGCTCAAAGCAGCACATTTCACCTAAATCCAAATGGATTTCTACCCTCTTAAACTTTCACTCTGTCTCACACCCAACAGAAACCACTTCTGCACTGCAAGGGAGTGCTGTGTATCTGTGGAAATACATTGTTCTGCCTGGTGACTTCTCCTGGGGAGAAATACTTACTACCCAGCAGCTCTAAAAAAGAAAACTGAACCCAGAGCTATGGGAGGACTGGCTCCAGGAATATCTAATGGTCTGACAGTCTATTAATATGCACAAATACTGCTCTAAAAGGAGCAGACACAAAAAAAAAAAAAAAAAAACAAAACAAAAAAGGAGTTGCACTGCATTTTTGCACAATGCTCTCCCCAGTCACAAGCAGCTACCTGATGGCATGTTTTAACCCCTCAGAAGTAGCTGAGCTTCTTAAAGTGCTGGAGCCAGGGGACCTGGTGTGGCAGCCCTTGGCTCTGCTTGAGACCAACTTACAAATCTTGCAACCACACTTCAAACTTCCTAAAATGTTTCAAATGAAGGACCTTATTGATGTATGAAAATTAAACCTGGAAAAAACCCCAAAAACCTACACCTCAGCAGCCTTTCACAAAGATTTCTCCTAAATTTACACTCTTGGACAAGGCAGATTTTTTACTTTTAGCTGATATGTTGTGCTCATGGCTGGCTGAAGCTCACAGCACAGGGAAAACTTATCTTCCCACAACCGACATGAAGAAATACACACTATACGTAAGGAGCAGAAGAAGCAGTTCCTGGCTCCTCTAAAATATGAGTTGTTGGCCATGAGGTTTAGGCACCTTTTCTAAGTATGGATTTCAACACCTCTTAGCATTATGAATTGTCTTTGTGTTTTTCTAAAACAAATACAGCATTGCTAAGGTAAGTACCAAAGTGCAATGTTGATTGCATTGGATAACACTGTCCTGTGAAATGCCTTCTTTCATCTTGAATTAAAATGTTGGTTTCTACAAAAACTGCCTTTTTTCTTCTTAAAGATGGAAGCCTGCAAACAGTCTGTAAGATGTGAATGAATGAGCACATCTTCAGTGCACATGAGTATCTTGTTGAACTCAGGGGAAGGTGGGAGTCCCTTGATTGGGCTGAAGACAGGGACAAAACACTCAGTTTACACCCTTGTAGTAAATCTTATCAGACCAAGAGAGCAGAACCATCTGGTTAGAAGCAAAATACCACTTTGTCCTGCACTGCTAGGGAGGTGGAAGAGAGAATCTCTTTCTTTGCTGCCTCTTCCTCAGTGGGTCACAAGGATAACAGGCAGCTGAGATGCCAAAATGCTGGGGAAGGCTGTCTACAGCCTATTTTTAATCCTGCCACCCTCTGCAAGCTTCAATTCCAGCGTCTTCCTAACACTCCACCAGCTCCTAAAACCCTGCTCCTCTTCCTGCTGCTGGCTGGATCCGATTTCTTATTCCCACCCCCTCCCTGTGGCACCTGCCAGAGCTGGGCATGGAGCAGGCATGGAGGGGAGTGAGTGAGTGCTGCTGGGGCAGAGGAACACAGCCCTACAGCACAGCATCACTGGCAGGGACAAGGGCAGCATCTTCTGCATGAGAAACATCCCTGGGCTTCCTCCTTGGACTTTCACAGGCGGGGTTATCCACAAAACCGAAAGGGTCTGCAGAGAGGAAAGGGGAAGTCATTATAATCCCAAAGAATGTTGTGTAAGTCTCCCCATATCTGTCTTTTGCTCTCTGGCTTTGTCTTCCACGTCTCTTGTGTCCCCCGTGTGGGATTATGTGACATCTCTGCCCTGCTTCACCCACTCTTTTTTTCCTTTATAGTTTATCAAAGCAGAAGAAAGCCTGGAATATTTCTCTCCTGCTTCCTGAAAGTGTTGTTTTCAAAACTTCACCACAGCACTCTCTGAGATTAAATATGGATTGAGACAAGATCAGAGACTGGGTGTTTATGTTTTACCATCAGGATGCTAAATCTTGCCAAATGAAAATGCCTGTCTCTTTTTAAAATGAAAATTTTTCCCTCTTGCCTAACCTTTAAGTCTTCCAAGATGTGTTACAAAGAAAGGTCAAAAATCAGCAATAATTCTTAAACCACAGCTTCAAATCCTTCCAGTGAAGCTTTTAAGATATTTACATCGTTAGAGCAAGGTGCTGAATTAGCCAATCAATGCCCTAAATACCCCAGTGACTAAGCTAAAGTCTAGTCCCATTAAGAAAGGAATAAAGCTAACAAAGCAATTAAGTGTCCTCCTCTGGACTGGGAACAGATACAGAAACTGGGATTAAAATCTCATGAACCTTGACTTCTGATTCCTCTTCAGGCCACTTTCCTACTCAAGGGAGCCAATTCATTCTTCCAATGTCAGTGCATTTTCTTTATTACTTATGATGAGCCAATCTTTGGGAGCTTACTGGCATTCTTCAATACAAGATTTTAGCTGTACCAGCAGGCATAGGATGGAAGCATTTTTCCTCTACTCCACACATGGTTGAGAATGTGAAGCAGGAGTAAGAGTCTTAAATGCTTTTGCCAAAGTAGATGTTTTCCCCTTAGAAGCCATCATGGTTACACACTGCCAGATCTGGAATTATTTGCATCTGGAAATGGAGAGGTGGAGAGGAGAAGGAGGAGGAGGAGAAGGAAGGCAAGCAAGCTGTATCTGCTGATATCACCTGGCTTCCTCAGAGCTGGGGCACTGAACCATTTTCCTTCCTGTCCAGGCATTCAGACACTTGAATCCCTACAGCCTGGAAATCCTAAACCTGGAATGCCAGCTGCTGGGGTGATGTTGGCCAAATAAATCATCAGTCCAAAAAGGTCTCAGGTTGTGAGTACAAGCAGCAAACACAAACCAGTAGCTCCACAAGCAGATATAAACTGAACACCCATGCTGTTATGCCAGTATAACATAAGCATAAATTATAGTAAGCATTTCTTCTAGCTTCCCAATGGAAACACCCAAACTGCAATGAAATCTGGGATTATTCTAAATCATTAATTAATACAGGCTCTTTGAGGACACGGGGGAGGTGATGAAGATGTCCTGTCCTGTTTTCAATTAGTCTGTTTGTTCGGCCCCTTGCAATCACCTGGCTGAACTGTACAGCCCCTGCTGTGCCTGAAGCCAGCAAGTACCAGGGGCTGGGCACAGGGAGGGGTGGGAGCTGAGGATTGCTCTTCTGGAGCAGCTGGGAGGCAGAGGGTGTGTCACACAGATCTCACTCACTTGGGGTGGTGTCAGCCTGCTGGGGCATCCACATGGTACTGGGATAGAAAAAGAGTCCCTGGGAGCCTCTGCTTGCTTTGGCTGCCAGCACAATCTGGGTATTTTTAGATTACAGCAGTAAATACAGAAAGACACTTGTTTCCAGCAGTTTGACCCACTGAACACGAAGGGGATGTGTTACCTGCAGAGCAACACAATTAAATGAAGGGGCAAAGGAGGGGGTTTTGCCCTTTCTCTCCTGACCTCTCTGGTCCATTGTCATGCAGGATAAAGTCCCTCTCTGGTCTCTGCTGCTACCTTGGCAGCCACGGCCTTCCCAAGAGCATCACCTGCTGGTTCCTGGCCTCACAGAATACAGTATACACATACAAACTTGTATGAGAGGGATAGTTTGGGGGTTTTTGTTTTAGAGCAAAACCTCACACCCTGGAAAGGGATCCCCTGGTTTCCTATTGTTTGAGTCACTCATCCAGGGTGGAGAAAGGCATGAGGTCAAGACCGTGGCCTGTCCTGAACAGTCACCTCTGTGTTATCTGAGTGCAGAAGTGTTATGGAATACCTTAAGCTGCAGGAGAGAAGTATTTCCTCTCCTGTTTTT